GAGCGGGCTTATTTGTTTTAGCAGAAACGATGGTTTCCATTCCCCAAAAAGAACCAAAGTAGACAGTGGAAAAGCTCAAGTACAAGAAGTTGGAGGTCATTAGCCGAGGATCAAACTCAAATCCGAACTTGTAGTTGGTGAATAAACCATCCCGGATCAGTCCACAGTTTTACAGTCGTGATTGATTAATACAGTCTATTCTTTATTAGTAAAGAATAATAGGGAGCTTTACCAACGACCACGGCGACGGCAACCAGGACGTCAAAAAAGCAACAGGTTTATTGCGCAAAACAACAACTTTGCACGTGCATCACGCTTTTTTGTACATTTCTTTACCGTCCTTGCACGACTACGACGTGAAAATACCTAATTGCAAGTTTTATGGAGAACGTAAACAAGCGACGACGAATCTCCTTTTCTCTCTCTAAACTTGAGTGCGGTCCTTAAGAAATCAACTTTAGGGAAATTCGCCCACACCTGCCATTTTCAGCAAATTGGAATAAATGCGACAGAGATTGAAAAAACGGGAATTCAATTTAAAACTGACGTTTTCGCTGCCCTTGCCGTCGTCGATGCTAAAGCTTCCTAAAGCTCCCTAATAAGGGGAAGGGGAAGGGGATTAAAAGGGAGGGTGGCTTAGTATTTATTTTCTTCCCCTGAAAAGGGGTGGCCTACTGGAGAGAGGTGGCTGAGAGGGGTCCTTAATAGAGGATTAACGGTAAGTTGATAAATATTACTATTAACATCACATAACTTTATTATTTATATAGCGCAAAATACATGGGTATATGATCTAATGCGCTTTACATTACAATGCTTATAATACTACAATGAAATGAATAAAAAAATTACAGCTTTACTAAATAGTTAATAAATGGATACTAGATAAAAAAATATTATATATGCGTGCAAAAAAATCTATGTTAAAATATTATAGGTTATAAGCTAAAAGCTAATTTAAAATAATGGGTTTTTAACCGTGCCATAAAAGTTTTGAGACTGCCTAAAGCTCTCAACTCGACTGGGGAAGCAGCGAATTCGAATTCATGCGCCCCTTGAAAAGCCCACAACCCGGGGGGGGGGGGGGGGGGGCACTGGGGTTTTTTTTGGGTGAATTTGCCGCCCCGGGCCCCCAAATGGGCATGCCTTTCTAAAAAAAATTCCCCCTAAAATTGATACCCCGTTCTAGAAATGGGCCAATTTTTTATACCCCGTTCTAGAATTCGCCCTAAAACTGATACCCCGTCCTAAAAATGGGCCAATTTTTAATATACTCCGTTCTAGAAAGTTTGTTTTTCTAGAACGGGGTCAACCTCGTCCCCAGGGCTTTTCCCTTGGGGACGACGTTGACCCCGTTCTAGAAAACGCCTCTGAAATGGATACCCCGTTCTAAATCAGGAGCTTCAAAATCACGACCTCGTTGGGCGGCACATACCTGTATAGGTAATGTATGGGAGTGCCCTCCCCGGGGCCCAGAATAAGAAAAGAGCATTGTCCGCGTGCATTTATCTGACGCTATGCTCACACTATATATGCTGAGTAGCTTTCGTTTGCGCCGGCACAAAAACCGTATAGGACTTCCTTTTACAAAGTCATAAGAACGGTGATTGCGGCACGATTTCTGTAACGTAGCGAGGCGGCACCGCGCCGATTGAGAAAGTGGAGCGTCACGTATTGCCTAGGCTCTGTGTCACACTTTGGTACAGTGTAAACAGGTAATTGGACCGTTAGTACCGAAAATGAACAAATAGGCGTGAGGAATGCAATCCATACGTTTCTGGGAAACTGCCCATCTACCCCTCCCCTAAGCCAACATTTTGCACTAAATGAGAAGTAAGTGTTCATGTTGGCTTAGGAGAGGGCTAGGTAAATATTTAGGAGTGAGGACTGGGATTTAATTCATCAAACCCTTTTTCGATCCATCGCTCCGGCCGGCGATGTTCGATACGTGTGTGGACGACTTGTTCCAGCTTAAGCTATTGCTGTTTATGATATGCCGGATAGCTTTTCGTGTTGCCAAGAAAAAATATCCGGTTTCTGAGTTTGAACATAGCCTGGAAGTGATATAATGATCCGCCTCTAGTTTGTACCAAAGTTAAATTGGGAAAAAAGGAATGAAATGCTGAATGTTATTATCGACTAAGAATACCTTTAAAGGGCAAAACTCTCCCGGTTTCTTGAGATTCCTGCAGATGCCGTAAGCCTGCTGCGAGTTATGTTTTGAACAGCACTGATATGATTTACAGCCGCTCTGCGATCTGCAGTAGCCAGATGGGTAACTATACTGGCAGCACCGCCCGTAGTAACAGAATTGGCCTCTTTGACAGTGGCTGTTGTAGTAGCATCGTCTCTGTATGTTTCAAGAGCAAAGTAACATTTAAATAAGTTCTGAACTAGGTTTAACCCTATTCAGACCCGGCTCTTTTGCTTCCTGCCACAGGGACAGAATCCAAGTACACTTAAGCAAAAATATACTTAAAGGGTAAGGCCTGTTTGATAAAATCAAGAAGCTGGCTAACAATAAATAACTTTTAACAATATCTGAAGTAATGTCATCATGACGTCATTTTGTTACTAAAAAGGAACTGGAAGCATCCGACATCTTGTGTGTTCCATTTTACTTAAAACCCGTATAAATCGAGGAATTTTTAAAGAAAACTTGATCTGAGAATAAAAGGATGCTTAGGAGGCAAAAAAATCTGAGAAATATGCAGTTACGGGAGAAATGAACACTGTTAAAAATTAAAAAAGCGTCTGCTATTTATAGCTATTTGGTGATATTAACTCATTTCTTAAGCTAGTCACTAAAAAGCCTGGATTTCATCAACAGTGTCAATAACTTTGATAAAATAGCGCTAATTTAAGTGTTATATAAGTATTACAATAATTCCATTCGTAAAAATAGAATTAAAACCTATTTTAGTGAGAAAAATGCAAATTTTGAGAAACGTGGTTGCCAAAACTCGGTTGCTATGGTAACGTCAATGTTGACGCACACGTCACGACGACTTTAAAATGTTCTCAGATAATTTTTAGGAAAAGTCGCTAATGCCCGGTTCAGACGCCGAACTTTTCATGAGCCGAACCTAATTCGAATTAAGGCCGAGCCAAACTTATTTATTTATTTAACTGGCTTTGCAAAATTATATAGATGATACAGATCCAGAATAAATAAGACAAAGGCAAATTTCAAAGTCGTCGTTTTAAAATTGTGCTTGTGTTTTCACGGCTGTACTTGCTAACATTCCTGCTTAATATTGCTCTTTTTTTTGGACCATTCTCAACTTTTTCTCCTGATTTTTGACAGCCAACTAAGAAGTCTGCAGTATGCAAACAATTATCTTTTTCTTGGCGTCTCTGATGTCTTAAACTTTCATCTGTCAAGTAGCAAAATAACATCTGTTTACACAAACATGTAGCAAGAGTCTCAATCATAGGTTTATTGTAAATATTTACCTAGTTTTGTAATATTTTCGCTAAAAGTAAATACAGAGTTTTGTGGTTCCCATGATCAACAAAATCATTGTTAGTTTTTCTTTTATTTGGCATTTATTTGCAGCTCCTTGGATGACAGATTTTCCCATGCGAACTACTAAAAGGTTTTTTTCAGTGTCTTTTTGTGTGTAGTAAGAGGCTAAGCACACTTTGCAGAGTTGGCCTATCCATACCTTATCTTTTGCGTGAAGTTGAAGTCGATCTTTTATTCGCCTGATAACTCATTCGTTTTCTAGTTGTAAGCTACTAATAAACTGAAAGAAGCCAAAAAGGTCCTTCCTTTATACATCTTTTACGAAAAGAAAATTTGCAATATTATTCCACGATTTTGCATTAAGGATCGGAAGGTTACTGTGTGAAAGAAAACTGAAGACAGATTTTTGAAAGCCCTAAGAGTTGTAGCTTCCGGATTGACCGTAATAAGACTTAGAAAATCCCTCAATTTGATCATCCCCTCCAAAAAATCCTTTCGTTTTGTGGACACGTTGAAATCTGCAAAGCTGATCGTACTACATAAAAGTCAACTTTTCAAGACATCAACAGGACACTGAAAGAACAGTGCAGCCATTCTTATGGCTCATCAGTACGGCGCAATAAACATAGAAGCTCTGCTAAAAATTTACCGCTCACTCTGTTTTAGAACCCTGACATTTAACTCCAACACTAACAGAACCACGCCACATCGCGTGTCTCCGAGAAGGCAAGAGTCCAAGTGTCGCGTTGATGCCTCGCAAAGAAAATATAGGATGGACAAAACCAACCTTAGAAACAATGGGCAAAACCATGCAAAAATGAACACCATATCGGATCTATAAAAGACTCACGGCCCCAAAATAAGTGATAAATTGACATTTAAACAGCAAAGGACCGCAAACGAATATGCCACAGAACGTAGGATCTGTAAAAAAAAACCGATCAGCAATAATATACAAAGTAGACAGATTGAATTCTGCAAAACTGATCGTGACCGAAAAAACTCTTTCGATCGCCACTTGGTATCAGTAAGATAATCGAATGTAACCCTAGATCCGTTTGATGTGATTTAGATTCAGAATTACAGGGTAGGTGAAAAAACATGTACTTTAACCACCAACACAGGAGAGCTGTGTACTCCTACTGATTCAAGTCAGTGATGCCCGGTGAGACAGGAACTAGGGCACTGCAAGAGTGTAATACGGTTTACTGGTTCTTTTAAAGCTTACCGTGTAACAATGATACCCGTGTCTCGCGTTCGAGTCATCAGACGTCTCCTCTATTAACGTAGGTTGAAAATCAGTGTTTGGCTTTGACTGAAATTCGCTTGCAACGAAAGCGAACCCCACAACAACTAAAACCAACGGGAACAGCTCCATTGCGAACCTGGGGAATATTCAGGCAACGTGAATTGCACAGTTATCTGTACAGATGTGAACGTTATAAATGTAAACGATGTTTACGTAATACTATTTAGAAAATGTCAAAGGGATAAAATACTTAACAATCGTGTCAAATGTCTTTAGCTTGGCATTTTTGTGCTGTGTAAATTCATTAGAACTTCTAAAGTAAACTAGACCTTCAAACTAAAGTACAGAAACTGAACCCGTTCATACAATACGTCAACTGATGACGCTAGTTCGGGTAGAAACTCAACAGATGGTAGTTCTTAGGCCGTTTTGGATCATCCCTGAACATAAATTTCTTATGAAGTGATAAGGGCCTTGCATTGTTTAATTACGCCGACCTCACAAATGACTGACTAGCATGGGGCATTGCCTAAGATTAATAAAGCAGCTTGAAAGAGACTCTCTAGCTTAGATTAGATAGCTTTTGCGTCCCTCTATTTCGTTTTATTATTTACCTTTTTTTTCACTTGTTTTCTTTCTTTTATTTCAAACGTGACAACAGATTGATGTTTACCTGCCAATGTCATTGTGAGGCTGTACATTCGCGTGTATATCAAACCGGCCACGGACAGTTGTATACTCGCAGTTTCTCTAGGTGTAGCCCTCTGCCAAGAAAAATTGATTTCCAATGCAAAGAGAGAAGTTTGAAAAATTCAAATTGAAAATTTTGCCATAGTAATTATAAGTGGTTAATCTCGAGCAAAGAAGGCGTTCGACACCTTTATAAGAAATGAAATTAAATCCTCTTTTTTGGGAACATGTCATAATTAATTTTTTGCATTACTCCTTCCAGGAAAGCAAGTACAAATATTTTTATCAGCCGCGGTTCAGATAGCCATTTCGTGTCCAAGGGAAAACATACTTCGTACTTCGCATGGAATAACTGTTTTATAGGAACGTTATAGTATATATTCAGTGGCCTGAACAGAGAATCCCAAAGAGGAGTGTAACGTCCACTAGACTTTTCTAGAAAGTGTCGCTGGGAAAGATGCCAACTTTTTCAAAAGTTCAGCAGCGCTGGGCAGGTTTCCATGTTCTTCATTGTTTACTCCGAAGCATAAACGTAACACTTCCTTAGTTTCGTTTGATGCTGACAAAGGGATGTGATCTTCAGGCCTACATGAAGTCTGCCTTTGAGGGTGAACACTGCCTCCTTCCTAAAAAATAACAACAACTCACTCTTAATTTCTCTGTACAATTTTTTAACATGTATAAACATACAACACATGTCAATCAGCAATTAACATTCAAGACTTCCTCCTTATTCCTCAGCACAGCAAACGTCAAATTCTAACGTCTTTTTGAAGGTTATGAACAAGAAACATTATTTAAAGGGTTGGCCATTGGAGCAACCTGTTAGCTAGTATATACCTTTCTACTAGCGAAGTGGAAGATTCCCGGTGTACCGTATACTGAACGAAAATCATTAGTTGTTTCAGGTGAAAGGTTTTTATTTGTCTGATTTATACTTTGTTTTTTTTTTTTCTCGAGAAAAACTTGAATGGCTGACTCCGTTGTTGTTGTTTCTTTTTTTCAATTTGTTTAATAAACCTAGACCTTTGCCGATATCCAACCGCACTATCTTGGACTCACATGTCCATGTACAATGAGCTGCTTCACGTTTAGTCATGCGCAATAGCGCATATATACAGGTTGGCCAGAGATCTTGAAGCTGGCTGACCTCCCTTAAAATTCTCTTGGTAGTAGCTAACCTTGTAAGCCGAACAGGGAAGTATGAATCAGTTAAAGAAGGCTATTACCACTTACAGTAAGAGCCAAAAGCCTGGAAGGTCTTTCTCCGTTCCACATTTCTAGGAAAAAACAGCCAATCTTCCAAATGTCAATAAAGGTACCTATATTCTAAGGGCAAAAGGGGAGAAAAGGTAAAAAATAATTTGGTAATTGTTTATTCAACTAATACAATCAAATTGAAAAGGACAGACCACAAACGAGTGTTTCTCTTGCAAATATATAATTGTAACCACTCAATGGTATTTTAAGTGAGAGAGTGGTAGTTAAGCGTTCTAAAAACGTCGCCAAAAGCCGGTTATAAATGAGATATGTTGCTTCACGCTGTATGATGAACCACGTATTAACTTATTGCCTTGAATTGTTTCATATTTGTCGTCCCAGTAAAACTTTTTTTTCCTGGAAACTGTTTACTTGCGGAACCCGGAATCCGAGGAATTTTTTCTTGCGGAACTGATGGAATACAGCGCAAGGAACCCGGAATCCCACTAACGATTGGAATCCGGAATCTAAATTCCACTGACAAAGACTGAAATCCAGTACCTGGAATCCGGAATCCACAGCCTGGAATCCAGAATCCAGGACTATGTTGGATCCTCTTACATGGAGTGATGTTTGGCTATTTCACGAACGACTTTTTTTTACGTACTTTGCGATTTCCAGCTGATCCGAAATCTGCTAGTTTGGCACTGCGGCGGTCTTCGGGTAACAGTACATTTGACCCTAGATTAAACAATCACAAGAACAGGTCAGAATAATGCTCAGCGATACCTTCCACAAAGCTTTGCCAACTTTTTCGGTTACGTAATGAGAGGTCAAAAAATTAGTAAAAAAATTTGGTTATTTATGCACCCAAGAAATTTTGGACAAAAATCGCCCGTCTGTACCCAACGTCCGCACCCTCATAGCGAACATCCAACTTATGGTCAAATGACACCGATCAAAAAAGGGTATCCGCTGATCAGTGTCACATGACTGTATCGCGCGCTTAAATGTACAACTGATTGAGGTGACGTCTTTTTAAAGTTATCCGCTAACCAGTTATCGGTTTAATTGATCACAGGCTCATAGGTCCATTTTTTACAGGAAGAATTTAGTTTGGTTCTTGCTTACGGCAAAAATTGAATCCTGCTGAACTAAGATCCCAAGAAAACTTCGCATTTGGCCTTGGCTAAATCTATATATTTCTCTTTAAATATAGTGAGACAGATGTATTGAGATCAGGATAAAGGTAATTTCAAAAGTTCTACATTGTAACACACAAAAAACAAAAAACAACAAACAAAAACAAAACAAATCCAACAAACTGAATAAACAAACAAACACGATGGAATTACTTTACGTGCGCGTGCGGCTTGTCCCCTGGGCTTGTCCTTTCATTTTAAAAGGGTGATTCAAATTTTACCCTCAAAGTATAGAAGCGGTAGTCTGTCAACTTTCCAAAGGGTTTCAAATGACCTAACAACCGGCTACGGATCTGTTCTGTGAAACAGAAGCAGTCCACCAAACAAAGAACTCAGCTTCTATTTACACAGTCTCCATGCACGGAGTCAGGTCATAAGCGCACGAGCCTTAAACTGTCCGTACTGAATTGATTGTTACCTTTGACATCCCTATGAACAATCCCTTTCTTGTGTAAGAAATCTAACGCTCTCAAGACATCTCCTGAGTACCAAAGACAGTTTATCTCTGGAATTACTGGCGAAGAAACAACACCAACAGCTTTGGCGTTTTCCTCCTTTTTTTCTTCGACAAGCTCGGCTGTGGTTCCACCTAAAAAAGGATTTCATGTTAGGAAAAATCCGGAAAAATCAAGTGAAAGAGAACGTGAAAAACTATGCCAGAAACAAGGAAAACCTCTTCAGAAATGGGTTCGTTTTGAACCTGAACAGTTACTGGCTATGCGAGCAATTTTTTCAGGTATTATATATTAAGTTAGTCAATTAATGTTAACTAATCGTAGTTTAAACGGAATACTTCTTATCCTTCTAAGAACTAATAAAAAGGTCAAAAAGGGAGGCTTTCTCCTTTTATACAGAGACTAACGACAATTTCAACTTTGAAACAATTTTTAAAAGTCTCTCACCTTCCATTAACTCCATAAAAATAGAAGCACTTTTGCCTTTTAATTTCGCACCATAAAACTGCACAATTTCTGCGACACTTTCCTTTCTTGCCAGTGTTAAAACCAGTAGCTCATTTATATCCTTCAGCTGGCACTTTTTTTAAGACGAAGAACAACAGAAATATAAAACCAATAGACCGTAAGTTAGGCAAGTATTGTAATACTTTTTTAACCTACTGTGGACTATAGTTCAGTTACATATAACAGTCAGATTTATATTGGAGGGAGAAGGAAATAACGCCACTGACTTTCAGATTGCAACGTTTAGATATCACATTTCCTCAACTTAGCTAACTCAAAACCCTCCCTCTAGCTAGTATCCTGCGAGCGGCGAGGCCCTAGTCGATCTTCCTAGTTTACATTAGTGCCATAACACCGGGGAATGGGTAATATATATATGATGCCGATCACCATGTCCGCTAAGTCGACTACGGCATTTTTTGGGCGTTACTCGGTACCTCTCTGGACTTAAAACAAATACTTTCCTGCCTCCCTTCTCTTTCGCTACTGCTCCATACAGTTATCCGAAAAAAACAACGTCGAAGTTGAGTCAACTCAGGTCAATGCAAATTCATTCCTAGTTTTAATTCAGAGGTCTCAATCCACAGCCTGTAAACACGCATGATTGATAAATCTCAAATTACAGCATTCACTAAGCAATGTTCAGTCTGTGATATGTACTACACAACAAGGGCAAAGTGCGAAACAAACGAAACGTTACCTTTTTGACGCAGAATTCTCTCTCCTTATCATAAGGAAGTTCGGAAGCCACGAAGCATTCTCCGAAAGCACCCTTCCCTATAGACGCTCTCAATACGTAATCTCTATTTTCTTCGAATCCATTATGATCAGGGAATTCCTCCTGTATATGCAACCGAAAAATCCAAAAATAATAATAACAAAATTAAGTTCAGTTTATGTGAATTCATATATGTTTTTTCAGTTTCTGGAACATGATGTTTTTGGCATGCTTGAAACCGCACGCAGCTTATAGCATTTTGCAGATATCTCGGCTTGACACACCCAAGAGGCAGTTATTCATTCTGGTAACCGAAGATTTATTTAAAAAAAACGCATATTTCTCTCCTGCGCGTAAGCCTGTATATCGTCTGATTTAATATTGACCCTATAAAAAACCAAGCTTGAGGATTTTGGAAAGGTTGATGTGATCCCTCTTTCTCGGCTCTTGTGTCGATAATCTCATTATAAACGGACTCGTACTGAGTTAGAACTCTACGCAGTCTACGTTGTGGAAACTAGCAGTAGCCTGCGTAGCGAGCGTTTCCAATCTAGTTATTGCGCGAAAGGTAGAGCCTTCTTTTTTTTTTGCTCTCGTCCCAACTTTCTCGACGAACTCGCGCGGACTGTATTAAAAAAACAAAACAAAACAAAACAATAATCGTTATTTTTAAAATCATTCAACCTTGACGTTTGACTCGACTGCAACCATTCAGTATATAGTATAGTATATCTTTATTGCGCCTTACTCTCCAAAGGGAGGCCTTGGTCTAGTTACAATAAAGGTTTTTATAACTCCAACAAATTATATAAAATATGAACGGAAACAACAAAATTATACGGCATATACCATTTCGATAATAATTATACTATAATTATTTAACTAATCAATTAGATTTTTGACTCAGGATCTGCTTTTGTTTTTTAAACATTAGATGGGCATATTTGGCTATATAACAGTGGAACTATCATGACGCAAATGAGGCACAGCCACATTCATAAGCATCAGAAATTGCTGTACATATATTGAAAAAAGGCAAAATGAACGTGAATTAAGGTATCAATTTGAATTTCAAACATTTTTCAGAATAATCAAATGAACTAAGATTGCTAATTAGGAAACATACCTCCGCAGGCCAGAGAAGTCTTTCTCCTCCGTCATTAAGAGCCAGCATTGAAGGAAGGCCTGTGCTCCCTAAACTCCACATATAACTATCTCTCTCTGACAGGTTCGATGAGGCTGTATTGATATTTTCAGTAGTGCGATTAGTTTGATCGTCCGGTAAAGGTCCGTAACACGGACCCAGTGATCCGGCCGGTTGTTTAAAAACATTCGCTCGAAGCTGATCATTAGACAATTCATTTCGAATTCTCGGCCTTTCCAAGACATCAGTTTGTTCTTGATCATCATTTCCAGAATTCGAAGTTGATGGTGGGTGAGGCAGTCGACCATCTAGTTTATCGTGGGTAGATTTTGCCTGATCAGGACACTTGAATTGGTCGAGTCCGTTGTTCGTCGCGTTAGAATCTTTACTTGGTTCCGGAGACTCTACCGGTGGAGAGGGCAATATGAAGTCGAGTTCGTCATCAGATTGCTCATGTTTATTATCATCCGCTATATTGATGTTTGAATTTCTATCTTCATTTGTTGCGCTGTTCACAATATTCAAATATTCGTGTTCGAGTTCATCTCGCAGTTTTCCCACTTCACCGCAGCTTTGCGAAAACGCCGCATCTCGACTACCGCTGGTCGAGTTTCTCCCCAAGTTAGCAATTATGTGATACTCTTCTGTTGTTGCTCTCTCGGTTAATTTTTGTTGGGCATTTCCAGTTTCCATTATCCAATATCAGAATGGATAAAATGTCTCCCGACAAACCAAAGCACTCCTTTCTACTGCGAATTCGCTTCCCTTGGCTATGCACGCGAACTGTCAAACCCGGAAATGGCATGGTTTTCACATTTGTTGTGATTCCATTTACGTATGGTTTCTCTCCTCAAAATAAAAGCCAGAAGGCGTGAAAATGTTTTCAGTAGCAACAAGTCTTCCACTACTGATCATAAATCGAACTATACCGTTTGTATTTGGATGCCGGGATCACGTTTGTATGATTCTAGAATACGGCTGATTTCCTTCGAAAGGAATTGTGGGTGAAGGACACCTGTTAAAGGCGTTCGGAGCGAAATAGAGAGCCGAGAGAAAAAAGGCGGAACCTCGCCAATTGCTGAAACAGGCTACTGATCGAGGCCCCGACCACACTGATGCAAGCTCCGTTTTCATCAGACGCAGTGCTTTGGGGCTCATTATTGTGCACGGGGTTCGTCGTTTCTTTTAGTCACGTGGTCGTGGCGCTGTACTAGTAAAAATACATCCGAGTAGCTCTGGGTCGAGCCTCTTAAAGAAAGCCGATATGGCGCCTGATAGAACAAAATGCTTACTTATTCAGCATGACGTACTAATGTCTAGCACGTTACTGAGCTTGAGCTGAATATGCTTGCGTTGAGCTGAGGAGCTGGTTGTGATTAGTAAGTCAGCCTCGAACGTATCCATGCAGCACCCAGCAGAGCGATGATAGCCGGGCCATGTAGCAGGACCTCTAGCAGGTTGGTTGTATCTGAGTAACCAAGGGTTTTACTTCAAAGTCAGACTAACGTACCCTATCTTTGCTTATTGCGTGATAAGATCTCTCTGTACTAGCGCGCGCGCATGTCACTCTCGCGCAGCGCTAATATAACATGCGCTCTTGTTTTCTGCCTACTCTGGTCTTCTATTCGAAGTTTAAAAGTCAAAACATTTTTGACACAGGAACACTCCTTTATCCCCATGTGTATAGCATTTATTTATTGTTTGCATCCATACGATCGTCTACTTACATTATGTACATGTTTTTTCGGTGGATAGGAGGCTTCTATCCTGGCTTTCTACTTCCTTTCACAGGGGCACCCAACGACTGCTTTCTGTAAAATATCTGTTCGGAGAAGCAGATTTGGTCTACAATTTTCTACCACTTGAGGACGGCTAAAAATTTCTAAATAACCGTTCCATTCATTTACAATTTTCGAAGCTTATCCAATAAATGTCCTACGATTTTCTTAAGTCTATTTTTTCAGACTTCACTCCACAGGTTAGGCTATAGACCTATTCGGCTAACTCAATGTTGTACCCAATTCAAACCCTTTGGGAATAAAACGTTTTGTTTCAGGAATTTCCACATCATTTAAATGTGAATGCCACATTATAATGCAAATACAATACACAAAGANCTAACGTACCCTATCTTTGCTTATTGCGTGATAAGATCTCTCTGTACTAGCGCGCGCGCATGTCACTCTCGCGCAGCGCTAATATAACATGCGCTCTTGTTTTCTGCCTACTCTGGTCTTCTATTCGAAGTTTAAAAGTCAAAACATTTTTGACACAGGAACACTCCTTTATCCCCATGTGTATAGCATTTATTTATTGTTTGCATCCATACGATCGTCTACTTACATTATGTACATGTTTTTTCGGTGGATAGGAGGCTTCTATCCTGGCTTTCTACTTCCTTTCACAGGGGCACCCAACGACTGCTTTCTGTAAAATATCTGTTCGGAGAAGCAGATTTGGTCTACAATTTTCTACCACTTGAGGACGGCTAAAAATTTCTAAATAACCGTTCCATTCATTTACAATTTTCGAAGCTTATCCAATAAATGTCCTACGATTTTCTTAAGTCTATTTTTTCAGACTTCACTCCACAGGTTAGGCTATAGACCTATTCGGCTAACTCAATGTTGTACCCAATTCAAACCCTTTGGGAATAAAACGTTTTGTTTCAGGAATTTCCACATCATTTAAATGTGAATGCCACATTATAATGCAAATACAATACACAAAGAATCTTATCCCCGGGAGATTTAAATTGGGTACAACATTGAGTTAGCCGAATAGGTCTATTTTTCGTAGCAAAGGGAACCTAATATTTTCCCATTTAAAAATGTGATGGAGAGAGGAATGAGAAAAATTCTCACTTTCGTAAAATGGTAAATTGCATCTAAACTTTTCGGGATAAAAAACTGAAGCCCTTGCAATTTCGAAAAGTCTCAAGTTCCCCTAGGATGACCGAGCAGATACAAATTTTATAGCGCCACATGTATTTCTAGAGATCTGTAAGTACTCTGGATAGCCTAAAAAGTGTTTCAATGTATTAAGGAGGAAACCGTCGTTGCGTGCCCCTGCTTTCAGATCCACACGTACCTTATAGGTCTGAGTCGATGACGGTAAACAGCCAGTCAAAGCTGCCAACGCCTTGGGTAAGTGAAAGCGATTCGACTTTCAACAACCCCAATATAATAACGATTTATTATTTGTAATCAGCCGAAGAAGGCCACTTGAGACCGGTAAATTATATCTATAATTATAGTCTCTAAGTGGCCAAGATAAGAACAGATTAAAACAAAACCCCCCCTTTTTAACTGAGGACTTGAGTTTTTACCTGAGCATCACTGAGGTCGTAGTTTTAAGAACGAGGGCTCCCTATGATTACACTGCCGTAATTGCTCATACGCCACTTGCACATCTCCCATAATGCATCTTATTTGCCCCCCACAATGTTGCATAAGCATTGTTTTCAATTTCTCTTGGAACCACTGTAATACCCAGGAGAAATGAAAAACAAAGGTTATGCAAAATTTTGTGAACATATAAGGTGCATTATGGGAGATGTGCAAGTGCTGAATTTTAAAATCTCAGTTCAATTTAGCACAAAGCACACAGCTAATATTCATAGTCACGTGGTACTAAGAGGTACGATTGTTTCTGATACAGTAAAACTCTTCGAACTGGGTGCAGTCTGTGAGCGAAGAGCAGCCGGGGCTGTATGTGCAAAAGGGGTCGCGGAAGCGTAGCTTGGTCCTTGTTCCCGAATCGGCTGTCTGAGACCAACTCCAGGCTTTCCATGTAGCGCGTCATCTGGCTCATTCCAAGCAAGTAACGGAGCTGTTCGTCGCTGCGACGGAGGGGCCGAAGCCGCCCGAAGATGCCTTCGTCTAAGTTCGAGATTTGACCTCACATGAATCGGCTCACTTTCGTTGTAGCCACGCGACGACGTTCTAGAACTAGAAGGGAAATCCGAGCGATACGTTGTCGATGGATTGGGACATTCGTTACCTCGCCAAGTTATAATGTCTTGGGTGCCTCTGGTATGTTGAGTTTGTCCTGGTTGGAGGTATTTTCGCTTCCCCATTCCCTGAAATGCAATATTTTAGAGAGTGGGATTGAAAAAGGTAAATTAAAAACTTTTGAATTAGCCTGAGAAAACACCCGTCATTTCGCGACACCACCACTGCGGTCTCTCGCGAAATGACATCTGAGGAAGGAGCGCAGAAATTCCACACTGATGATGCATCACTACCCAGATCTAGGTAGTGCTTGGTTTGATTGAACGAGGCAAATTTTTTCCGAATCGAAGTACTTCCCAAATATGGGTAGTGACAAGTCATCAGTATGGAATTTCTTCGCTTGTTTCTCAGGGATGTTACTATTAAAGACGTAGCCAATCATGGCACGTACTCAAATCCTGGTAGACAAGTGTGGGCCCAGAACGAGGACAGGGTTTGTACAGGTCATGGAAAACCTGGAAAGTCATGGAATTTAATTGTCGGTCCTTGAAAGTCATGGAAAATGTTAGTTCTGTTTGGTAGATTAGATACTACAGATGACAAAGCATGCCAAGGACAACTTAAGATCAAGAGAAGTAGTTAAAGAGCGCGAACGGGACGTATTTTGGTGGACACCAGAGTTTGTGTCTTTTGAACTGTTTAAGGTCAAAAAATATGCTAAAACAAGAAAAATTTGAAAATTTTCGAAAGTGACAGCTAAACCGAAGGTTATGGAAAACTTTAAAAGGTCATGCCGGAAAGAGTCATGGAAAGTCATGGAATTTAAAGATCTGAAAAGCTAGAGTATAACCCTGAAGGATTTTGGTGCTGTTTCGTAGACATACTTAACCAGAAGTTAATTTCTATCTGTGGCAAAAGCTACTATAGCAGGGAATGGGGAGTGGGGAATGAGCACCGGGAATGGGAAATTGAAAAATGGGAACAAAAGCAGAGAAGTGGAAATAAAGTTACTGATAGTTCTAGGATTCAAGTTAGGTTTTGTTCCATTTTTCATTTTCCCAGTCCCTGTGCTCATTCCCCATTTTAGTAGCAGCTATTTCTATGAGTTTATTTCGCCTAGAAACCTGCTGAGTTGTGGCGTTGCGAAATGTAAGCTGTTTTCTCAGAAACAAAAAACAAAACGAACAAAGAAACACCTCACATTTTCCTTATTGAGGTCAACCTAAGGCAGCAAATATGACAGGTGACTTACCATTCCAAAATATGTTTCAAGATCTCCCATATCACTGTGTGCATGTCTGTTGTCGTGTCTTGAGAAGAGATGCCTGTTAGACCTCTCCTGTTTAAACATGTTTAATTAAGTTAACTTTAAGGCTTAAATTGCTCACTGATCTCTAGTAGAATTTCAAAGATTGCATGGACAATTTGCTCAGGGGCAGATCCAGGATATTTTTTAGGAGGGGGGAAATGTTCTCTTGCTCTACTTCAACACCAATAAACCACATAGTTTTCTTTTTTTTTGCAGAATACCAGTTGTATTAGAAAACTGCAGGTCATCTCCGGGGGGGGGGGGGGGGGGGGC